TATAATATGCCCCCTAAGGCCCTTGTATTATGAGCTTCTGCTCGGAGGTGCAGACTGGCTTCATGAGGTGTCTAGAAGCTTCCTTTTCATTTTCAGGGTTCTCCAGTAGTACCCTTATTCCTTTTTGTAGTCCTAGGTTCCTTATAAAGTTACCAAATACCAAAAAGAGAGGCCTTTTTATTCTTAGGTTACTGCGTATCCTAGTTTTCAGGGTTCTATGAGTTTGTTTACGGGTTTTAAGTGGCTTTGCCTAATACCCCACTCAACCTTACTGTAGACCCTCAAGCTAGAATCCCAAGCCCTATCCCAAAGCCCTACAGCCCTAAGCCTTAATCCTTAAGAACCCAAGCCCAAAACCCAAATCCCTCAATTCGAAGCCCTCCAAAAGAATTTAAGTGTGATTTGTAGTATCTAGGATTACGATTGTGGCCACTATACTACTTCGAGGTTCATGGGTAGTTAAAAGTAGGGTTCTAAGTCCCCTAATATGGTTATAACCATAGTTACCGTACTTATAATCCCACTTTAACTCCCGCATGAATCTCCAAATCATGATTGCTTTTCACGGCCCTTTTCACCCCGATGAGGTATTCGCCGTCCAAGGCTCTTGGCTCAACCTCCTTTGTTTTCAAGGTCAGCCCAGCCCAGCCCGGCCAGCCCTCAGCCCCACAGCAGCTCCCACCCCTAGCTGCCCTTTAAGGTTTAGGGTGTAGGGTTTAGGATTTAAAGGGAACTCCAGAAAGTTGGAATATGGTTTCAGGGTAGGATACCCTATAATTTACCATAAAGAGTTTAGGATAATCATATTCCAACTTTCTGGCTTTTACTTTAGGGTGCAGGGTTTAGGGTTTCAGCCTCCAGCCGAGCCCTCCCGACCTGCACCAAACACCAAAATTGCCAGGCTTTCGGTCAGCACGTTTCGGCCAAGACTTCTTGGGCACCAAACCCTACACAGCTTCTCAAACCCCAAACCCTAAACCCTAAGCCCTAAAACCTAAACCTTAAGCCCTAAGCATGTTCACTTGCAAGTGTTTGCGTAAATCCCAAATGAACCGCAAACCCTAAACCCTGTACAATGTCATACAATGTGCTTTTGGGGTATCCTACACATTAGGTGCCGTACTGTATTAGGGACCCAAAAAGGGGCCCTAATTTTGACAACCACCCATTTCTACAAGCCGCCTAGACCCCGACGAGGAGCCGATGGAGCTGGCTGGCCGCACAGCCCCCTGGCCCTGTGGGTGGGGTTTGCCTGGACCCTCAAGAACCTACCTATTTTCGGGTTCCTTATTCTGATTTCCTTGTGTAAGTCCTTAAACAGGTAGGTTATTCCGGGTTAAGGTAGGGATTAGGGTTTAGGGTTTAGGGTTTAGGGCGTGACTCTAAGCCTACTTGGAGCTTCATGGGTAGGTATAACTGGGGTTTTGGAGTTCCTTGAAGGGTTCCTTTAAGGGTTCTGTCGGGTTTAGGGGTAGTCTTATAACTCCACTTACAACTACTCATGAACCTCCAAGTAATTTTGCTCTGGGGGCTTAGGGTTTCGAGGGATTTAGGGGTTCAGGGTTTCAGGGTTTGTAATTTGGGATCTTTGGGACGTCAGGGTTTCGAGGGATTTTGGGATTATGGGGTGTGGGGTTTAAGGGTGTTGGGCTCAGCGTCTGGTACCCAGAGCCTCCAAAACCCCTTAATTAAGGAATATACCTTAAATCATATAAGGGATCCTATTATATTTGAAGGTATATTCCTGAATTAAGGGGTTTTGGAGGCTCTGGGTAATTCAGGGTTAAGGGCTTGCCGTGGAATGGCACTTAGGCGACAACAGTGCATCGTACTATGGCGATCAGCTGCCAAAGCCTTATCGGCATTTGGGGCTTAGGGTTTAGGGCTTCGGGTCTGTTGTGAGAGACGACGAAGTAGCGGGAACAGAACAGAACTGTGAGGAAAGACCGGAAATTAGCTCAATCAATATCCAACGAGCCCAACTTCCTCAAAGCCAAACCTTAGACCAAACTTTAAACCTGGAACCTCAAACCTTAAACCCTCAATACATTCGAGGTGCCGTCGGGCACGGAGATTTGGGTGCACTACCGCCACGTTCTCAAGCACTCACCTCTGGTGAAGGAAAAGCTGGGCGACGATCTGGAGGATTCCAAATCCCTTGCGCTTACTATGGCCGCCGGAAGAGGGTTCTTGTAAAGGGTCCGAGTCGAAACACTATAAAGGGTTACAATACAGGGGCCATAACTAGTTTCACAGGGTTTGGGGGGTAGTGGACTGGTGCGATTAAAGGTTTTGGGGTTTTTGGGGTTCGGGTTTGCAGGGGCTTCATAGTGCTTGCGACGGCTTATTGAATGGGTGGTTGTAAAAGTTAAGGTCCCTTTTTGGGTACCCTAAATATTCGGTGCCGTCTTTTAATCGGGACCCAAATAGGGGCCATAATCTTGACAACCACCCATATCGGTTCCCAAGAGGCTTCCACAATCGCGGAAGTTTCTCGGGTTTTGGAGTTCACGGGTTAGGGATTTAGGTTAGGTACGGCCCCCACTCAGTAGTAGTTGAATAATATTCATAATATAGATATAGTAGGACCTTAATAGTAGCCCTATTATAGACTGTTACTGTATGGGGGCCGTACCTAAGATTTAGGTGTTTAGGTCTTGGGTTCCCACATACGCTTAAAGCCTATAGACCCTGAGCCCCACCCTAAACCTCTTCTGAAACCCTAAACCCTAAAGCCCTGAACCCCTGAACCCCTAAACCCTCAAGCCTCTACAGAACCCTAAGCCGTAAGTGAAGCATCTTGGAAGCTTTTCCTGGGTTTGGAGTACCACACTTGAATACCTTTTTTTTGGTACCTGTTCCTTAAAGGAACCATTATGATATAGAAGTCTATCCTTTTTTCTCCCTGGTTACTTCAAAGTCCAGTTTTCTGTGAGCAGGAGTTCCGACCCCAGCGATGGCTCGGTTCCGAAGGCTTGCGGGTGTAGGGCGTAGGGGTTTGCGCATTTACAGCAGAAGCCTAAAAGTTGGAAACCCGACTTCTTTCTGAAAACCCGAAGCCGTGCTCTATACGCATTGAGCGGTTTAGGGATTTAGGGATTCAGGGGTTTAGGGCTAAGGGCGTAAGGGATTGAGGGGCTTAGGGGTTTAGCCCTGAACCTAAACCCTTCGGGGTTTTAGGGTTGACACTAACATCCAAGTTAGGAGGCCCATGTGATTTACGGATTCGGGGTTCAGGGATTTAGAGGTTTAGGGATTTAGGAATTGAGAGGCTTACGGGCTTAGGCCTAAACCAAAGAGGCCCATGTCGTGACATCTGGCGGCAGCTTGGGGCTTCGTCATGGTTTGGGGTACTCCAGCTGAAGCGGTTTGGGGTTTAGCACTCAGCCAAAAAAGTTGTACATCATTCACTACAAAAAGCTCGCGAAGCACCCAGCCGTAAACGAAACACCTTGCACCATCAAGTCCAAGCTCTGAACCCCGCTGTCTAGCCACGAAGCCCTCAAAGTCACATCGGAAATTTTACGGCTTTGTCGGCTCCCCTCGGTCTCTGCATCGCGCAGCCAGACCTTGTGAGAGCAACCAGTCTTGCGTGGCTTCCTCGGCGACCAGCTGCACTGGCCGTACTTGGTGCCCCGTGTTCGCGCTCATCGCATTAGCGAGACGGTCGGGAAACCAGAGGACCGGCACGATTTGGCAGAAGCCTTTCTTCGAAGGCCGGCACTGTCTTGAATGTGAAGAGTACCGTATATGGTCTGACTGCAACCTCGAAACGTAATCGGACTGGACGATCGCAGCTTTGGCTACTTTCTGCACTTGGAGGATCATGGGACTTAGTAAGCAGGGTTCTAAGTACCTAGGCATCGTCCGTGTAGCCGATCGCAAAATTGAAGAACGCTAACCCCAAACCCGAAATGCCAACCCGAAGCGCCAAGCCTCTGATTAACAAAAATTCAGTCCTTGAATGAGGGTTAGAAGAGGGGATCCCTTTGTGACGGACTTTCAAGACAGGAACCGTGTCTGCAGGAAGCCCTCTCCGAAGGCATCTTAAATCCCAAACCCCAGACCCCAAACCCGAAACACTCAACCCTAAACCCTAAGCACGAACCCTGCTCCCTAAGTCTTCCAACCTTAAACTTACTTTCTAAATTCCAAGCCTTAACCCGACATGCCTTAGAAGCTGCCCCACCCTGTAATAGTGGTATAAACGGAATATAATAGGGCCCTAATATAATCCTATATAATCCTTATGGTCACTATTACAGGGTGGGGGCCCCTTCTAAGACATGCCTAATTAGGTTCCTGAGTGGCCCCTTTATAACAAGGGTGCCCGTTATCCCAATGTTCAGTTTCGAGAAGGAGACCCCAAGCTGAAAAGGGCAAAAAGCCAGGGTTTAGGGTTTAGGAGTTTAGGGTTTAGGGTTTGGGATTTAGGAATTAGGGTACTTCTCTAAAAAAACCCCTGAAGGCATCATCAAGCACCCGCCTTTTGACAGTCTGGCCTTTGGGCACCTCGGTTCTCTTTGTCAGTGCCGTGTTATGCAAGGGCCATAATTCCGAGTTTGGGGTTTAGGGTTCACGGTTTGGGGTCTCGGGTTTAGGGTATCAGTTTTTTTTGGGGCTTTGTTTTTGGGTCTGATAGGGCTTTAGAGGGATGTCATTAGGTCAATATTGGGAGTGTTGATGGCTAGAAGGGTTGTATGGAATTGCTTGTTTTGTACACGGCTTTATGAGACTTAGTGCCGGGCCTTAATACTATCAGTAGTCATATGATTCATTGTATAATCACAATGACAACGAAGCTCACTACTACAATACGGTGTTCAACATCATATCCATAACCATAGTTGTTTGTTACCTACAATGCGGACAATAACAAAAAGAGATCGAATTGGGTCATTGTAGTAGGGTTGAAAAAGGCAGGGACTATGGTACTGTAGCTATTCAGACACACCGCACGGCCCTCGACAACGAACTCTCATGAGCCGGGTTCGGGTCCAATGCCTCGGTTTGCGGGTATAGGATTTAGGGTTTAGGGTTTAGGATTTAGGGTTTCAGGGTTCAGAGCCCGCAATTCAGGGTTTGCCTGGCTGAGGCATGGTGCTCGAATCTGCTTGGGGCGGACCTTAGCCGACTACGAAGGAAAGTTGGCGATGGTCAAGGTTCCGGGGAGCCGACACGCGAAACCCCAAGTCTTGAATCCTGAACCCTGGACCGTAACCCTACTTAAAGGATCATCGGACTTAGTAACTAGGGTTATGATTAGGGTAAGTGTACTTATCACCCCAATTAAGGTACTTATAACCTGACTTACTAAGTCCCATGATCCTCCAAGTAAACCTTAGACCCAAGACCCCCAGCGCCCGACCCAGAATCTCAGAGCCCAAACTCCGAACCCTAGCCGCTTAATGTAGGGGGTTGGAATAATTAGTAGCAGTACCGCGTGCACATTCTTGCTTGAAAACTATACTGGGCCCCGGCACCCTCGTCAGCATTTTTCAGACTCTTAGGGTTCGGAGGTAAGGGTTTGGGGTTCTTTGCGCGAGGTGCTGCAGAAATTTGTCCTTGAGGAGTGGACGAAGCCGCGGATGGAAGAGATAACCACTTTCGTCACCGTTCCTGCAACCGATGTCGTCATCCGTCTGCGGCGCCGCGGAGTCGAGACCCAAAAAATCTGCGGAGACCGAATGGCAGCCCCATTCTCGCACCCGCACCCAGAGAGCCCAATACCTTAATTGAGCAATATACCTCAATCATAAAGCAGAAATCACCAGGGAAACACAGTAGGACAGCATGCACTTGTACAGATGTGCATGCTAACTACAACATTTGGCTCAAGATAAAAAGGCGCCCTTGTGAGTTGGGGTTTCCTTTGTCTTGATTGCTTCAATAAGCACGGCTAAAACTGATTCTAACGGAATCTTTGGGTTATCAGCCGTATAGCTCAAGAGCTTGAAGCTACTTCGCGTTCTGTTCGGTTGTTTTCTTCCGTTCAGGGCATTACATACTTCCACGCCATAGCCGTCTGTTGAAGCTTCTTTCTCGCCTCTGCATTTTGCTGGTGTTTATTTGGAGCTCCACACGTCTTTGGTCACACCGGTGCATGAAACGGTCTGCCTGGTTCAATCCCCGAGGTGGGAAATCAACACGGCGCAAAATCAGACGTGAACTTAGACTCTTGCAGGGTGCAGTTGAGCAAGGTATCGTGGTTCAATCAGGTTTGCCCTCGGACGAGGATTTTGCCCCTGAGCAGCGTGAGTCGCGCCAGGAGGCTTGGGTGCCAAGGCAGCCTGATTATCCTCCACCTGGTTTTGCATCAAGCTCCTCGCGAGAAGCTGCGCCGGAATCCACGCCACTCGTGGTAATCGAAGACGATCCGCCAAGAATTGAGCCGAGGGTTGTATTTTCTACGGTGGCGAATCTGGAGGGCATCGGGACGGGTCACTTTGAAGTCACTCCTTTGAATCAGTAATTATCTTTCTTTTGCCAGGTGCTCCGACGCAATTATTTGCTCAGAGAGACCGGAGGATTTAGGAGGACTGAGAGGGGCCATTGCAATCGATTTCTATAAGACATTGGCTATTCCCAACAAGTGGCGGCGGCGGGGAGAATCATTGCAGGCCTACCCGGTTCTACCTCGGCGAGCGGTGGTCCGCCTCCTCTGTCATCTACGCGCCAACATAGGGGACATACCGGATGATGAGGCTAACCGCTTGCTCTCGACGGCTGGCGCATCCGACACGGTCGCGCTTCGGCACCTTTTGAGGGCTAGCCGTCTTCCCCGAGATCGGGCTGTGAGCCTCCTCTACCGGGCTCTTCCTGGCTTTGTTGCACGGCAGGACTGGCACGGGATCTTTCTGCTTGTTGCCTGGGGGCAAGGAAGGCTCTCCTCCCAAATCTTTTAAAACGCGGTTGCCGTCAAAAAGTGTGCCGCTGTAGCCTTGCTTTTAAGCTGCATGGATTATCGTGCATGCGCATTACCGCCCATTGGGGCGTAAGCGGTGCCTCATTCGAGGCTACCGCTGATAAAGTGCCCGGCCATAGGCTCAGCGCGGTCCCAGTCATTAGGCGGTGCCTCATTCGAGGCTACCGCGCAGCTGACAGAGGCATAGGCTTCTCCGCCATGGACTACCCAGGCCGGCATTTCTGCGTGGAGGTCCACGAGGATGCGGTCCCCATTTGCAGTGATGCGCTCCGCGGAACGGCGGCTTGGGCGCATGCGCCGATGCGGCTCGTCTCCCCCGAGCTTTCTCCTTGGTCGCTGAATTGGGACCTCGTGGGCGACCAGCTTAGCGCGCTGTTAGCCACCGCGCCTGCGCTGTTATCATTAAACACCACCCGCGAGGAGCACGAGCTCGGGGACAGAACGGGGGCCTTCCTCATGGTTGCAGGTTCGCTGGCGGACTAAGCCTTACGATGACGCCATGTCGGGGCAGCTTGCCTATCACCACGCGTGTGCGGGTGAGCTTGGAGCGTTGATGGCAATCATCGATAGCCCCTTATCACCGCGCCTGATGGACAAGGTCTGGGACCAGGCTATCGTGGCCTTGTGCGAGAAGCACTGGCAGGGGGTTGTCTTGATCCTCTCACGAGGGGACGTGGTCAACCGCATGTTGCCGCTACGAGAGAGGCCACGCTCCTGGTATGCCCCTCTGATCTCCCAGGCCATGCTGCAAGACCACGACCTTGTGCTCCTTCTGTTGGCGGGTGGTGCCAACGCCAACCTGCCGGACACAGGGGGACAGGTGCCGCTGATCTACGCGATCTATGCGGGACGGGAGGACTGGGTCCTGGCATTATTGCAGGCCGGAGCGGATCCTGTGCCCAACACTGGATTTCAGCCCCTACTCCTGTCCACGGCCCGGAGGTTGGACGCGGCAGCGGTGTACCTCTTGGTGCACCGTGTGGATCCGCTGCTGGCTGCCCGCGAGGGCACCCTGCGAGGATTATCGGCCTGGGACATGGCGGTGCAGTGGCACATGGAGTATGTCGCGGGAGCGTTCAGGGCGCGTGGCGCCGGCAATCAGGACGAGCTCGTTTCGCTACGGAATGCCCTTACCGGTGAGACGGTCGGCTACTTGACGGAGGGGGCGTCCCCCCCCCTACAGCACTATGAGCTACAGGAGTACCTGCGGCTCCCGCTCCTGGGCCTCGATGTGGTCCCCACGGAAGACGGACTCAGCGTCTGTCGACGTCATTCGGTATCCCTTGGCACCTCTCTTGATGACGGGGCGGCCAGGGGCTTGCAGCTTCGTGAACTGTTGCTGGACCGCAAATATGATATCGCGCTCGGCATCGCGAGGTCTTTCCCGTCGGTTTTGAGCTCGACTGCATATTGTTGGGGGGCGCCGCCTCTGGCAATGCGCTGGGCCATTCGCAATGACACCTTTGCGGTTTCCGTCCTGCTCCGCGCGCGGGCGGATCCAAATGGTGTCCACCGGGATTTGGGTAGCCCCTTGGTCTATGCCATCGCCAAGTCCTCCGACCTTGCGGTTCAACTCTTGCTCGCTGCGGCTGCTTGTCCCAACACACTGAGCCAGTATGGGCAGGCTCCATAGCGCACGCCGCTATATGTGGCTACCTTGGCAGGCACCCCGCGCACGGTGAGGCTGTTGATAGCAGCAAGGGCGGATCCAGGTCCGAGCTTCGGCTCGCGCAAGTCGCTTATGCAGCTGGCCTTCCACCGCGCCGATCAGTTCGCGTTTCTGCCGGCGATTTTTGCTCACCTTGCTAGGGGGAGTCTGTCTAAGTCGGACAGGGTGGAGCTAGCGGAAACGCTGCTTCCTTCCCTGCTAGCCCATGGAAATTGGACGGGCATGTTGTGTCTTCGCCTGCTTTGCGCGGACTAGGTCGACTGCGATATAAAGGGGTGGGCTGCGAACGTGGATCGTGTTCCTGCAGCGGTGCATGGGTGCATGTTTATTCTGTCATCGCTGGCTCCAGGTAGGATTTGGGACTAGGGGTGGCCGAGGGCAATGCTGCCCGTCGGTGGGATCCGTGCCCCTCCCTGATGGAAGCGCCAGGCCCCAAGCGGGCCAGGACCAGCAAAGCGCTTCGCTCACATGGCCATACAAGTGTTCCCTGCCAACGTGTACGGTTCTGGGGCCCTTGGCGGCCATAGGCCAAGCCGGGATTGAGAAGCGCACCAGCACGCCGGTTTTGCTGGAGCCTGTGGTCATGACGGAGGAGATGTGCTTTCCTGCTAGACTGGTTCGGCAGTGCTGTGTTGGCCCGAAACTCACATCTTGCTAGTGCTCCCAGGTAGCGCTGCACCCACTGCCGGACTGGTTGTCCACCTTGGCGAGACCCTGCAGGCGCACTGTCTTGAGTGGATTGACGCTGATGATTTTGGGGACATCCTCAGGGCTGCCCTGAGCGCCTTGGACCACAAGCTTGTTTCCTATGGTCGCGGGTGCCTGACCTCCGGATGGGCCAGGATATGTGGGGCGAGGCCCACTCCGCTCTGGTTGGGCCCTCGGTCTGCAGGCACTGAGCAGTGCGCTACCCTGCTCCTAATGAGGGCGGACCCAGACACGCCTTGGAGAATTTGGTACTGGACACTTGATTGTTATGCTGACGCGGGCAGCGCCCACAGCCGACACCCACATGGCATGCCTCCCCGCGTTGGCATACGCGCTGGCGCGGGACAATGGCCCGGACATGGCTAGCCTGTTGGCGTGTAGGGCTTCGCCGACACAACCCTTGGGCAGTCCGCCGTTTACGGCCTGGATGTCTGTGCTAGCCCGCCGTTCTCCTTATGCACTCAGGTGGCGTGTAGCCTTGGCCTTCTTGAGCCCAAGTCCTCGACGCCACTGGTCCCCATATGACGACGCTGGGGGGCAGCTGCCTCGGCCTCGGCTTGGCGCCACCGACCGCCTCAGAAGAGGATGTTGCCAAGGTACTTGAGCAGGTGTCTGCGGAACGGGCTATACAGTGACGGCAGGAGTGCGAGCGGAGACAGGTGGAGTGGAAGTGCTACACCCCTTCCCAGCACTACCCGGCACCACCCGCCCCACTCGGCACTACTCGGCACCACAGGCTGTATTTTGTTGAAATTTTAGTGAATTTAGAGTAATTTAAAGGCACCCCAATGGCTGCCCAGTGGGCCAGGTTTGCCGTTGACGCGGGGCGGGTGGCTCCCTTTATGTCCTGCTGGCCGCAAGAGCGGAGGTAGACGGGGGCCGGCCCAGAGACCCTGCTTGGCCGTGTCCTCAGCATGGAGCCTGTCCCTGCCAGGCTCGAGGGCACAGTTCACACACTACTGACGGCGAAGGCGACCTGCACCTTTCCCATGGCTGGTGCTCTGCGTGTACTCGAGTTTTTGATGGTCAGGCGGGCGTCCACTCCGGCGGCGATGCTGTCGCACCTTATCGCGGCCCGCGCCGAGACGTCAGTCAGAGAGCACGAGCGCTTTGGGCTGGTTTCCCCTCTCGGCATGGCCGTCGGGCTGGGACTGAGTACAGAGATCAGCATTCTGAGCGCCCATGTTGGCCGGAGCCTGTAGCTTGACCGGTATCCAAAGGGCGCCCGTCACCTGTTTACTCTTCGTGTGTAATCGAGCAAGAACCACCCGCACTTGGGCCCAAGGAGGTAGGGACGCCAATTCTGGCGCTCCCTGTTCCCCTGTTGAGCCAGTTAGCTAGTACGCTGCTGATGGCCGCACTCTGTTCGTCTGTTGCTGGAAGATGTGCGCTCCGCCGGCCTATGCCTGCGCTCAGACCCGCCAGGCGCCTTG